AAACTAGAGGTCTCATTCAGGGCTACCGTTGTTTGGACTTTGGACACAGTAGGAATAACTGTAATTACGAAGTTTCGTGTGTGTTGTGTGCAAACAACCACATTTCAGCAAACTGTCGATCAAAGAAATCAACTCCTACTTGTAAGAAATGCATGGAGAAGCACAGGAGTGACTTTAGGTCAAATGAATGTACATATTAAAGGAATATAGTGGAAAATAACCGTAATTCTAGCTCCAGATCCCGCCAATCACGCACGCGACCACTCAATCATCACTCAACAAACTTTCCGTTCTTGCCGACAACAAACAATATTTCTAATTTCACTCAAAGAATTAGTAATCAAAATCAACCAAGGAGTGCAAATAATATTTATCATCACCAATATCACAATCAGCAAACAATTAATCGATTTAACAATACGGCAACAATAACTTCTTCATTACCAACATCACACAATTTATCACCAATCACGTAGTCATCATTATTAACTCGCCAATTCCAACAGCAATTACAAAGTATTCAAAACTCCATCGCTTCCACAATTAGTAACAGTAACAGAAGATTCACACCATAAAGCATTAACCATTCTCAATTGGGATGCAAATGGCATTGTAAACAAAAAAACGAACTAGAACATTTTCTACAGGCAAAACAGATAGACATCGCATGCATCACCGAGACGCATTTGAGCCCAAGCAAAACATTCACCATACCAGGATTCAAAATCATCAGAGCCGACAAAAACAAAAATTATGAAGGTGGTGTATTAATTTTTATTAAGTTTAGTGTTCAACACCACCAAAACTCCTTGCCAACCTCTCCAGGTATATCGTGCCAATCCAATTACCAGCAGAGATCACAATGTCAAAGCTATGTCGTTATACAATATTCCCAAAGTCTATCCAGTTCCGTTGTCACTCGTGACCAAAATCAGTCTCACACTAGGGGCGCCCCCTCCTCTGCCCGCCACGGGGTTGCGGGGTGCGGAGCGGCGGCATGCCCTCTCCCCTTTGCGCTCCGCCGCGCCCGCTGCCGTGCCTCTCCTCTCTCGCGGGCCGTGTTTTCGGTAGTGGCGGTTTCTTCCTCTAGTTTGATCGCTACTACAATAACAATAATCAAACAATAACTGTAGTCACGACGTATAAACCACATAAATATCAATACTACCTCTATCAATAAATTACTACAATTACCCAATCCTTTTATCTTAGTAGGAGATCTGAATTTAAAGCACTCTGCATGGGGATATCGGACCACAAACCCGGCCGGTGAATACCTAAACAGAATACAAAACGCAATGCAGCTTAAAATACTAACTCCCACAGAACCAACCCATTTCTCATATGATCCAATAAAAACCCACATTTATTTGATATAGCAATAATACATTTCAAAGACCCATCCTACTCCACAGTTCATCATCAATTAGACTCAGGAAATCAAGGAAAATGTTACCAATTGATTGAAGGACTAAATATTAAAAGCAATTCTGTTTGGCAATTCACGAAGAAAATTCGAAGGAAAAATAACAGCATGCCAATCCCACTGTCAACTGATACTAGAAAAAAGTATTTTCTTATGGAGAAAGCCGAAATTCTAGCAGCCCATTTTGCTAGCACATTCATTCACTCCTAATGACTCCATAAAAGATGCCAAATATGATTAAATTTTAAAATTTTCAAACGCTCCTTTTTACAACGTTCCCCACAAAATTAAATTCATTTCTTCATATGAAATTAAACAAATAATCAAAAAATGCCAAAGAAAAATCTTCAGGAGATATCCGAAATTATAGTATTATCCTCAAAAGATTACCAAAAAATGCCATCTCATATTTAAACAATATATACTACTGCATACAAAGAACAGGTTATTTATTCCCAATCATGGAAACACTCAATAATATATCCAATAGCAAAACCAAATAAAAATCAATGACTTGCAGAATATTACAGACAAATAAGTCTTTTACCCATCATATCAAAAATTTTATCAAAATTAATTCTCGTCAGACTAAACAAATACATAAATAAAACGTACTCAATGCCACCTCATCAATTTGGTTTGAAATCCTCACACTCAACGACGCACCAACTATTGAGGCTAACTGCACACATCCACACTCTGCTTTCCAAAAAGGATATCACACTACCACTGTATTTCTAGATGTGTCACAAGCATTTAACAGAATATGGCATCCAGTCCTGTACTTCAAATTAGTCCATATTGGTACGCCAAACTATTTAATTTAAATCATCACAATTCCATATCTAACAGAACTTTCACAGCAACAACAGATGGTCATTGTTCTAACCCCAGACAAATTGACGCTGGGATCCCCCAAGGTTCGCAGCCATCCCCAACTCTCTTTATTCTCTAGCTCCAGCCATTGGTATCAAATAAATACCGCCCAATTCGATGACGACACGGCATTATATATCTCCGGCAATTCATTACAAACTCACCAATTCCAGCTATAACAGCACGTAAATATAATAACAAATTGGGCAAATGGAAAATTAAATTAAATCCCTCAAAATCAGAAGCAAAATCTTCTCATTAAAACCTTTTGCATATCCACCCCCGCTACTTATAAATGTAATGCAATAAATAGGACCACAAAAACAATAAAATTTCTTGGATTCAATTTAGATACTAAACTTAACTGGAAACAACACATTGACATAAAAGCACATCCAATTAAGACCTTTACTAAACTCATACAAATCACTCATTCGCCCAACATTATTACGCATAATTAAAGATGTTGTCATTGCCAACAATGTTTTTTAATTCAAAAGCAGCTTTCGATGGCTTAGCCATCATCATCAGTTGTCTGCTAGATGGAAGCCACAAAACGACTAGTCGACTAGTAATTATTTTAAAAATGCCAAAGATATCCTACCACAACACCTATATTATTACGCATGCCTGATCTGGACCAATGCCGCCAAAACAATCTCAACAAATTGCAAATATTTCAAAACAAATATTTAAGATCAACAACAAGAGCACCATTGTTGATTAGCAATAAACAATTACATCACAATCTAAACATAAATGAAATAGCACACCAAATAGCATTCCTATCAAACAATTTTTACACAAACGTATCCTTTATAAAGGCATCAACTCACTACAGACTCGGAAAAGATCCTAGATACAAAACCACGATTAAGAACAGATTTCCGCTTCATTCTTTTCTTCAGATATTTGAAATTATTGACTAATTCTCCTGATGTGCTTCTTGTTTCCTCTCCCTATATTAGTTAACTATTAGCTAAAGATTAGTATACTATTTTAACCTATATTATGTTAATTGCTGGCGTCAGACAGCACTAATCAAACATTGGCAGCGTGATAAGCCATTTTAAACGTTTTCCATGCATTGTTAGTCAGTAACATGGTCACAATTTAGATTTCTTTACGATTGCGGAATATATTCTCTGAGCGTAATTGCGTCCAACAAGATGACGGAATGGTGACAATTATATATAGTTTTCCCTCTTGTTGATAATCGTCTTATGAAGTTATCTAGGTAAATGTTGATATTCTATGGTTCAAACAAACAAGTAGTTTTTAATCCTTCACTGTTAAATGATCAATCAATAAAAATGCCATTATTCGCAACAGTTGAAAATATTAATTGTTAAAATGTTAATAAATGCCATATTTCTAGAAGTCTAGCTGTGTTCAGCTATCAACGGAATATATTTTTTTAAATATGTTTTTGAGGCTTATTTAGGAAATATCACCCTTGTAGTTTTGCAGTGATTTCATTCTTATATTGGAGATTATTTCGGAGTACCGAACTTGAACAGAACCCAACGATCCGTTGATACGTTCTGTTTCGCCTTACTTCTCAGAAACTAGTAACCCAGATTCAGAACAATATATCCTACATGAGTTACATTAAACCGACATTTATTCCGTTTCCCGAAAATAAAAAGAAGAAAAAAATACTTTTATGTATGGCTTGTGTTTGTTTGGACACATTGTACATATACTACTCGCTGCGTAAGATTTGCATTTCAATTTCCCGAATTAATGTAAACTTTGAGATGAGATGAATAAAAGAAGGTAGCAATTCCGAACTTTTCATTAATAAATATTCATACAAACATATTTTATTGCCTATATTAACTGTATGTTTAATTTCTGCTTTTGTTGTATCCAGTCAGATGAGGGGTTTCTTGTAAAACTTATTGCGCTTATCCAAAATGTCCATAATGTTAAATAACACACTTTTAAGAAATAGAAATTGTTATCTTGGAAAATTCATTTAACTGTTAAATAAACTATTTATTCCGATTGCTCCTAGTTCGTATCTGATACAAGCAAAGGAATGCTTCAAAAATATTTGTAGTTACAAGAAAATTGCAAACATTACATTAATCTGTCTTTGAAAATTGTGTTCACCGTCATTCACAGACATGATTATGGCATTCATTCATACATTCAGACTTTTTAGAACTCGAAATAATACGCCGAAGTTTCTTTACTTTATTCAAGGGGCGTAAATCACAGCAGTTTACAATGGATGATCATAGCGTGAATTTGTAAGTCTCTTTTTAAATTGAATTGAGCAAAAAACATGGATACGTTGAGAACAATTCGTTTCGACCGAAATGAGGGAATGCGGTGCGTGGTGAAGGCTAGGCGGTGCTTCCCTCAAGGGGCGGGCGCCCTCCCGCCCTGGGCTCCTCTCCTACCTGCCCCACCTGGGCTTCAGGTTTTAGGAAAAAAAAGACTACCACGGGCGTGCTTGTATGAATCATCGCTAGAAACTATTTATGCCCCAATTTCTCAGGATCCATCCCACCGCGCCGCGCGGGGCCGTCGCTTGGCGGCTCTGCGCGTGCGCGGGCCCGCTGACGTCAGCGCGGACAACGGCCCTCGGGCGGGCGGGGGGCGCTGCTATGGAGGGGAAGGCGGCGGGTGGGGAGGGGCCGGCCGCTGCGCGCGTCCGTCGCCGCTGCTGCCGCCGCCAGTCTGCGCCAGCGCCGTGTCGGGAGGTGGTGTGTGAGTGGGCGCGCGGTCTGTTGAATCCAGCGCGGTGCGGCGACCGCCGCCGTTCGTGATGCGAGAGTGACACCTCGACCTAACCCGCGCTACCACATCCCTCGAGCGCGCGACTCCGTGCTGCATCCGGGTGAGCATCCTGAGCGTTGGCCTTTCTGTGAGACTGCTTCGCGGAACTTAAGTGCGGCGTGCTTCATGTGTCAAGTGGCGGTGCTGTAAGGAAGACAGCAGGTCTCCGTGGACCCGGCGATTTGTTTGCGCCGCCCGGGTCGTTTCTTCTGCGAAGAGGAGGAATTGCCTGGTGAGCCCTTTGAGTGTGTTTATTGGGTGAATGTGAACGCAGTGCGAGTGAGGTGGTGTGTGACAGTTCGTCGTGCGGCCGTGACCTGCGGGCGTGAGGGCGGCGTGCTGCATGCGCGGCATGCGTGTTGCATCGTGGGCGCCGTTGGGCCTTCCAGGCACGTTCTTCGTCTGCGTCCACATCAGAATTCCTGGGAGCGGTTGTCGCATACCGAAAGTGAAGGGGGGGGGGTTGTTGGGCGCTCCTGCGGGGAGTGGGCAGGTGGACGGCATGTGGGCGGGAGAGCTTCCCTGGGCCGGCAGCCGCAGCTTTCCCCATGCATGGGCCCCATATGAGTCATCATTGACAGATTTAAGTACACCTGTGGGCCATGAGATAACGTTATACTTTCGGTTGTTCATTCTTTCCACTACGTTCCATTGAATCTCCTTTATTAATATTCTTTCTTTATGAACAAAATCTGTATCATTTGATTCTCTTTAATCACATTATTCAAATCAATATTTGTTCGAACAAAAACCAACTAGTTTTTACAGAACCGTAGTGTAGAGCTCATTTGTAAACGTGATTCATAAGAGGAGTGGAATATGGTTTGGATATTCGCATGCTGTTTTTAAAAACTCTTTGAAAGGGTTCGTACTGGAAATACTAGAGAAATCAACCTTTTTGTGCTTGGACATTATTATTGGAAACAAAAAGATAACCGCACGTGAATGCAAAGCTTTTCGGGTGTTTTTGTATGAGGGGGTTCCTCTGGAGGTGAGTTGCAGGAGTTTGGGAGTACTTTGAGACGATCTCCGTTGTTGCCATAGCTGCCGCCTCCATGTTCGCCGCCGTCGTTCCTGGGCGCTGCGCCGCGCCGCGCCGCGCCGGTGCCCTCCGCGACCCAGGGCGGCGGAGGCGGCGGGGGCAATGCCTGGGCCGGTGCGCGCCTTCGCTGACGCCAATGGCCCTGAAATCTATGGCGGAGGTTATTGCCTCCCGCGTTTTCTCCTCTGATCCCATGTGTTCTGTGACGAGAGTTAGGAAATGACATAGCTTCTTCCAATCGATCCTGCTGACTTTCCATCGTCATCCCATTCCGTGTAAATTGTCAGATTCGTTGCCATGCCTCGTGAGTGACCCTCAATTTTGTCCTTTCATTTATTTGTTTTGTTTTTTACCGTTTTGTTTTCTGTTATGGATGCGTATTCTCCACTTTAATATAAATTAAAAAAAGAGCACTTTGAGATACGTTTAATTTTGATACCTGATTTGTATTGCTTGATTACTATAGCTTGTCTTTGGTTATGAAGGAAGCAACAGTTCTGCACTCGGGGTGGAAATGATGTGTCTTCTGAATTGTAATTTTCGGTAATTACTAAAACGCAGTTTAGTATAACATTAATTAAAATGGAGATGCAATATATTTTACACAGCGAATCAGACTATTCTGAGATCCCTGGTGACATTTTCAATAAATCAATATTTCTTATTTATAGTTGTCAGATGCTTAATCGATGAAGATCAAATGAGATGCTTAATCGACGAATACAATTTTTCGAATACCTTACTGTATTATCCCCTGTATTGATGTTCATTTTACATATTGTTTCTTACTTAAAATACAGAAAAAGTAAACTGAAAATGACATTCCCTCTTTACAACATCGTTTTCAAGATGTTCTTGATTTATTTTAAGGATCTGGGTTTTCCTTCCATTTGCTGAATTCATTTAGCCAACTTTCTCTTTTAGCAACAGTGGTGAACAAAAAGGAAAGGAAAGTTCTAGCCGTTTGTTTCGGCAATTAATCATGCAACTTAGATGTCTTGTTGTTCCTTAAAATATCTGGGAGAAAGAAACGAATTTGATTCGGGCGCTAATCCTGAAAAACCAAAACTCATTACGTCAATTCATTGTGAATGTGGGATGTACTTTCCGAATATTAAGGAATTCATTTCACACAAAATACAAGCAAATGAAAAGTTTAAATATTATAACAATGGATTGTAGCGGTATAAAATTGCATTAAAAGTTGTATTATTTTGAAAAGTAAATATAAAATAATTTTGATCACTCAATCTACTTTTAAAACTTTATACTAATAAAATTACTTATAATTCAGTTGAACGGGAGGATATGTTTAAAAAAAGATGCGATAAAGGGAGAATATGGAGAGGGTACACTTTGGAAGTTGACTTCGTTTCGTAGGTAACACCAACTTTTGAGACGACTCCAGTTTCTATGTCTGAGTTTCTGATAATATCTGAGTTTTGTAAATAAAACATTGGAAATCATCCCACTTCTTCGTGAAGATCACGTGAATGGTATTAGAGAAATGTATTGAGATAAAACCACTACATACCATTATGTGTGTGGTGTTAGTCAATTCTAAAGAGGAAGGCTCACTCTGGCAAAAATGTTGCTCAAAATTTTGAACACTAATATTGAGCTTATATTTGTACAAAATATTAAAAGGTCGTGAACCCCACACACTACACAAAAATATTGCACAAAATTTCAGAGTCGACTAAACATTCGTGATGAAAGCACGGCGCATCGCGTTGTACTCGCCCATAGCCGCATACTTTTTTTGCCCAGGGTAAACCCGAAGGTTGAAAGTTGCGTAGTTGTATTTTGTGTAGTGTTGAAGGAGTATAAATAATAACAAATTGTATGGGTCAGGAATTCTTTGAAGCACCGACCGACCCATGGTCATCGTAACATACTTCCCGAACTGAGCTTGCAACTTGCACTTTATCAAAATTTTCTGAGGATAAATGAAGAGGTGTGTGAGCAAATGTTGTGTATAGTTTGCCCTCTGATTGAGAAACGTGATACACCAATGAAAACAGCGATTTCGACAACTGAAATGTTGAGTCTCATTCTGCGCTTCCTAGCATGTGGGTACAGGTTTGAGGACCTGAAATGTTCATCGTACATAGATAGCTCCGACCACTATCAGTGAAATCGTTATGGAGATATGCGAGGCACTTTTCTCAATGGATAATATAAATGTAAGAAAACGGCAAGGATTGAAACTTTTAAGAACGTGTAAATACATAGCTCGATATTACTTGAAGTCGTATTATACGAGTACACACTATTCATACATGTATACTAGGTACGTATAGCAAAATTAGTAAGTTGTACTGGTTGTTAAGAAATCGTAATAACTTAAAATAAAATAGGTATATAAAATGAACATGAAAAATAACATGACTTGCATATAAAACAATGTGCAGAAAAGTGTGAAAAACACTGGTTCGATTGTCTGAGTTCATTGGAAACTGGAAAAGTATGAACGTGTATCTTCGTGCCTCTCCTCCTTGGGTTCATTACCGTTATCATTGCAAACAACAAAATTTAATATTCTACTGGGATGATGATCGTACAAGTTATTGAATGCTTTATAAATTGGTGATGGTTCGGACGTGCTGATCTCAGTCGATCTGGAGAGGTTACTGATTTTACGCATTGGTTGATAGATGACTACTGAATGGCGATGAAGTCTACCCATTTGTCCTTCAAACAGAATTTCATTAATGGATTTTTTGGCGTGCACCTGCTGATCAGATGCCATTACCTCAAGCTCTTTTGCCCAAGTTGTAGCAATATGATCCTGAGCAGAGGCAGATTGTCGAAGTTGTGAGCATGCTAGTACAAGAAGGTCTTTAGCTGTCTGGTGGTAATTAATATCAACGTTTCTCCTTTTCAGTTTTTGTGACTGCGGCTGATTGGAAGAGGAGGCACCCTGGTTTATCTGTTCAGCCTGGTCTGAGAGAGGCTGCTGGCTGGAAGGCTCGATGTCATTTTCCTCGGTGTATTGAGAAACAGAATCCTAAAACAAAAATTTAATGTGTTTGTACTGAATTATCAAAAATAACTAAAGGGCAAAGACATTTCAAACATCTGTAAGACGCATTTGCCATTTTGTTGGAAATAGGAACTTAGGTTTAGATATAAAATAACTAAAAAAGGTATTGATTCACTTGTGTATGTTCTGTTTCTCAACATATTGAGGAGAATGACAGTCTTCCAGCCAGCAGCCTCTCAGACCTGGCAGAGCAGATTAACCAGTGGTTTTCATTTTTATTTTTCAGTGCCTAGGAACCACGCAGAGTGGGAGAGTGTGGCACATCAATTCAGTGAGCGATGGAATTTTCCGCATTGCGCCATGGATGGAAAACACGTGAAAATTGTCTAACCCCACAACATTGGATCATTTCACTACAATTATGAAGGATCATTGAGTGTTGTACTACTTACTATACTGAGTGCTAATTACGAATTCCTGATGGCTGATTGTGGCATAGATGGTCGTGTTTCTGATGGCGGTGTGTTGGAATACACGCATTTTCGAGAAACGCTGTTGAACGGTACCCTACACCTTTCTGATGTTATAAATTTGCCTGATTTTTCCAATATCTGCACTTTGTTTTTGTGAGTGATGAGGCATTTCCTTTATCTCCTTACATAATGAAACCTTACCTAGAAACTGGCATCTCTAAAAAGCAGCGAATATTCACCTATCGATGCAGTAGGGCTCAGCGCTGCAGTAGGGCTCGTATTTGGGATAATGGTTTCAAAATTTAGAATTGTTCGTGCACCTATTGAACTTGCCCCAGAAAAGGTGAGGAGAATTGTGTTGGCTTGTTATTTACCTAATTTTCTACGACAACATAAAGGAAATACATATATGCCAGCAGATTCTGTGGACCAAGAGGCTGTTGAGATTGGGCAAAATGTTGCTGGCTCTTGGAGGCCGGAAAATATACGACACATTCCGCTACAAAATAATAGCGGTGCCAGGAATCCGATGAGAGTAAACACTGTTAGAGATACGTTCACCGAGTAGTTTAATGGACCTGGTTTGGCAGGGCAAATCAATTGGTATTGTTTCATAGTTTGGTGCATTGTTAGTTTATATCTACACTGTTTACATGCATTGACCTACATTATTTACCTACCTACTCAAAATTAATGCATTTAAGTACAATATCACTTTCATTACCTATCTC